GGGACATCTGGGAAGGGGCTGCCCCGTGAGTTGGCAGCACATGGCAGAGCCAGGTGGTCTCACAGAGCTTTATTGAGGATGTGGGGCAGGTGGGAGCAGCGACAAAGGTCCCCACGGCTGCCAGGATCCTGAACTGGCATTTCACCAGGGCACGACCTTCCCTTCCCAGTCCAGGAAGGTGCCAGTGTCCTTCTCAGAGATGGAGGAGAGCACCTTCAGCATCCCTTTCACACTGGCATCCACCGTCACGGGGGGCTGTGGGGAACAAGGGGAGAGGCAGCCTGTGCCCGAGGCCATGGAGCAGCCAAGGCTGGGGGAAGGAGCCGCTCCAGTGCAAGGGCAAAGCTGAAAACCTGGGACACCCTGGACAGGGGGGCTGAGCAGGGAACCCAGCACCTGGGACCAGGACAGGGAGCCCTGCCTTGGCAGGATTGGGCACGGAGGGAAGTCAAGGGCAGGGGATCAGGGCAGTAATTTCCACCTGTGGAAAATCAACATGGGGCTCTGTCGGAGCCACCATGGTGGAATTCCTACCGTGTGTCCACCAGAGCTGCCCAGGTCAGTTTGCACCCAGCCAGGGTGGAGAGCCAGACAGAGGATACCGTGCTCCTTGTATGCCAGGGACTGGCACTTGGTCAGCATGTTCAGAGCAGCCTGTGGGGAGACAGGGCAGAGATGGTGGTTGGAGGGGAGCGGGGGCTGCAAAGGGACCTGCGGCTTTGGTAGAGCAGGGGAAGTAAACCTGTCCCCAGTACGATGTGAGAGTACCTTGCTGCAGCGGTATGAGCTAGCTTGGATCATCTCCCAAGCAGAAAAAGAAGCGATGGAGCCGCCAATGCTGGAAATGTTGACGATGGCTGCCTTGCTGCAGCTCAGCCCTGAGCCCGGGCTCCCCTGGGCTGCCTTCTTCAGCAAGGGGAGGAATGCCTGCGAGGATGAAGACGAGACAGGGGAGAAATATGGATGTGGCCCAGGGGAGAGGACCAGCTCCTTCCACAGTGGGCAGCACTGGCACCAGCATCAGAACATTCTCCCTTCTCTCCCCACTGCCCCAGCCTGCCAGGCTCCAGCTCCTGAGCTCCAGCCCATGGCTCCACAAGCTTCTCATCAGTGGACAACACACTGGGCACCAGAGGGGAGGCAGGACACCCTCTCAACAGCCCTTCACACCCTCTGTGATGTCCAGCTTGGAGAGCCAGGGGCACAGGAAGGGATGCTCCCTGGAGCTATGCTGCACTGCTGGGACTCACCTGTCCCAACAACAGGGGTCCAACCGTGTTGGTGGTGTAAACCTGGGTCATAGTCTCCAGTGTCTCCTTATCAAGTGAACTTGGCTTTGCAATTCCAGCATTGTTGATGAGAATGTTCAGCCCTGAGCCCCCCAGGAGCTCCTCCACTCTGGCTGCAGCCGCCTTGACGCTGGCAGGGTC